TTACGGTGGTGCATTAAATGAGAATGGAAATTTTGGAGACTATCCCAAGGCTTTTTTTTTTTTTTGAAAGCAGGAGGGAATATAATAGAGCTAATTTCCACTTATCTACTGTTTGAGAATACCCTTCCTAGCCAAGGAAACAGCACTGCCAGTAACCAGAGAGCTACGTTCGCTCCTCTTCTATTGTAGATTTGATTGGTGTGCAGATATACTCCTAACTAATTAAGAATTGGCAAAGATCTGCATTACCCAACTTTTGCTGAGATGTGCTTATGATTGAGTTCTGTAGTTATTCAGAGCTTCATACACAGTTCAGAAAATGCTTAATAAACTGGCAGGTTGGTTGTACTTTTTGGTGTATCTTCACAGCAACATAACCCTCCTGCTCCAGCCCTTGAAACCCTCCTGCTGAACAGCCCCTGTGCAGTGCCTGTAACGTTACTCCTGCAGGGAGCTCTTTGCCAAGCGTTCTTGTTTTTGAATCGTGGCCCAAGAATGTCAGACCACAGTACACAGTCAGTGTGCTTGACTATACATAGGATCTTGTTTACAACAAGACAGGATTAAAATTAGAAGTGTAGGAAGGCACAGACCAAGCTACTGGAACCTTCTCTCTGCTGCCATATGTCCCTCACCTCTTGTCTGTGCAGTTTCTTTCGCCAGTGGCTGAGCATTAAAAATTACTGGGGGTTGCTTTGCAGCCTGTCTGGGTGCAGATCCTTGACACATGTGCAGCTTGTTTTTGTGGCTAAAGTACTTACATGATTTGAAGAGTGCAGTTTTAAATCCCTAAACTATAAACTCGTTCCTTACACCAGACATTCCAAGGGCTTTGTACACACACTGAATTCACACTGTGCCTTGCAACTCAGAATCGTTGCTTTGATGCAGTTACACAGGAGCTGATGGTCATTTCAGCTCCATGTGTGCGACAGAGATTGGACACTGATGTGAGTCTGGGCCTGCCTGTCCTGTCTAACCATGAGCTTGTTTCCTGAAGCATGTGTGGTTGGTGCCAATATGAGCAACACCTGAGCGTGGCTCGGGATGGTGCAGGCCAGGGACTGTTCTGAACAGTTAAGGCCGTGCTGATTGGGAAGGAAGGGAGTTCAGGTGTTTGGATCTGACACTGGCACTTGCCCCTTATGATCAAAGAAAAGGTCCCTACATGAGATAGCAATACCAGCATTGCAGGGGGGCACCAGTGATCAGGAGCAGCGAAAGAATAAAGTAATGGAAACCTGGAAAAGCTGGCAACGGGATCCTTGACTGCCTTCATGCATCTGAACTCAGTAAAATTAGAAGCACAGCAGATGTCAAAAATCTTACAAGAATTGCGTATTTTTAGTTTCTCAGAATTCTTTCAATTAAAATGAAGGGAAAGACCACAAGGTGAAAACTCAGGGAACATGTTCTTATGGAGAAGAGGAGGAGAGAGAACAAAAATGTCTCCTGAAATCTGAGCACATGTTCTAAAAACATGATCATGAGGAGTTGTATTTAATCAAGAAATTAAATCTAATGATTGAAGTGTGATTTAATCCTATTTCAAGCAAAAACCTCCACAATGTTTTAACTGTAATGGATTTTTTTTTTTTGCTACCAAAACTGCCATAATGGCAGAATTTCAAAAGGGGTTTCAAAACCAGAGTGCCATTAAAGGACATTGCTTGTGAATTCCACAAAATGTTAACTGCATTGATACTAATCTCATGGCAGAGTGAATATGCCAGATTCTTAACAAATTGTATTCAAATCCAAAGTGCATAAAGGCAGACTCTGTTCTTGAATGGGAAAGTGCCAGGTAATCGCTTTGTTGCATCTCTGAGAGGATTATCTCACACAGAAGCCTTTCTTTTAAATGCAGGCACCATTATAATGAATCACTCAGATTGCTCCAGTCCAAGAAGGAATTCATGGAAGACAAACATCCCAACGAAAGATCCACAGGGGATTCCCTTTCTTGTGAGCACCCAGGTTGGTTCATAACTGTAAACATGACTCTTTGTTTAGTATTAAAAGCTGTGCAGCTTTCCCAGATTAACTGATAATGAAAAAGTTGAGCAGAGTAGCTGGTGAGTGTTGAGAGCTGGAGCTGCCTGCCAAAAACAAGCCATGCCAATGTAACTGCTGGTGCAGTGTTTTGTAATAATTCCCACTCAGACAGGAGACCTTGGAGCTGTATTAAATCCTGGTTTTATAAGCATAACTTTAGCTATGTCAGAGATGTATGTTGTGGCCCTGCTTGTTTTGCAAAGCACAGAATATATGAATAAAAAGTATCGAAAACACAGAGGTTACTTAGAATTGTAATTCCAGTATTGGAAAATGGACAAAGTATACGGATACCACCCCAGTGATGCTGATGCCTTGATGTTTACTGTGTTTCTGGCCAGAAAAGCTTCTGTTGACAGCAAAAGTCTGGCAGGTTCTGGAACAATGTCAGTTCTCAGTTTCCTGTTTAATCAGATTCCCTGGCCCTATGACTTGCTAGGGTGCTGCTAGAGTTTTGATACATTGCATTTGTCCTGTAGTGTTGCAGCCTCTCTTGGCCATGAATAATACATTTCAGTTGTTCATGGTTGTTGATGAGTTGTATCTTTGCAGCTGGTAGAGAATAAAAAAGGTCTGCTTTTGTGCATCGTCACTGGGACGTTTCTTGTTTTCTGAACTGCTCATTTAAGGTGTTTGTAGAAGACTTGCAGATGTGTTAACCACCTACAACCACAAGTAGGAGGCAATACCTCCATCCTCCCCCTTCATTTGTATGCACATGAATACAAGGCTGTGAAAATACCTGGTCAGTGTCTGAAAAATACTCGGAATAATGATGAGTTACACAGAAGAGGTTTGAGGAAAGAGATGGGCTCAGGCAGTGGAGAGCAAATAAGAAATGGAGAGAAAACAAAAAAAAATGTCCTGGTGAAGTATCCTTCCTGGTCATTACTCCAAGATACAGAGTGAAAATGCCATGGCCACGTAAGACAAAATATCTGTAAAATATTCTGCTGATTCAAATTTGTCTAAAAGTGAAATGAAATTCAGTAGTTTATCTAGCTAGGTCATTGTAAGGTAGTTGATTAGATACAGTTTGTCATAATTCTCCTCATTTGTTTCTCTCTCCTTTTGGCTTGCTTGAGTGGAGAAAGAATTCTCCTTTACCTCTGTACTGATAATGTTTGATATGCTGAGCGATGATGAAGTAGGTGGTAAAGTAATTGTGATGAGACACAACATCTAAACTGATTTTTTTTTGCAACCTTTTGAAAAATTCACCAAACTGGAGTAAAGCTAAATTATTTTTAAAATGAGGGGAGGGTGGAAAAGAAGTGATGAGTTAAATCCAATTTTAAGTATAAACTTCCTAGAAAACTGAGCAAGGACAGACATCTCTTATTTCCTGTTGTCTTTCCAGTCCTACCAGAATTAAAGCTGCTCTGTGGGGCTGATTTTCTACAGACATTTAAGACCCCCAATCTCTGGAAGGAAGAAGACATCAAAGAAATAGTGGAAAAGTTTGGTTTGGTCTGTATTAGCCGGGCTGGCTCTGACCCCTCTCAGTTTATCCGGGAATCTGACCTTTTAACTCAGTTTCAGCACAACATCTTTCTGGTGGAAGAATGGATTCAGAACGAAATCAGTGCAACCCAGATCCGCTCTGCCCTGTGCAGGGGGTTGAGTGTGAAATACCTCCTGCCAGACCCTGTCATAGCCTACATTGCCCAGCACAACATCTACACAGAGGAGAGCGAGAGGAGGAACGAGGGGGACGTGCTGCAGCCTCTGAAACTGCACAACCCAACAGCAACCACTCGGAGGGACTGATGGCTGGAGGGGCTGACCTCGACACCCAGGGAGCTTTTCCATTGAAAATCCTTCAGAAAGTTGTTTCTTGTTAATAAAAAGAAAGCACATCAGCCCGAAATTTCTTGAAATCGTGTGGTGTTTTAAATACATGAATCCTTGTGTAAGCGAATCGGCTCAGCTGCACAGCCTAAAGTATGAAAAGAACAGCTTCCTTGTGAAAGTAAAAGAAAGGAGGTCTTCATAATGAATGCTCATCTTTAGTAATGCCTAAAGGTCAAACATAGGACTTTCCTAAATTGTAATGCTGTGATCTTACAGGCTGTTTTAGCCTGAAGATGGCTTAGTGTTGGAAACAGCAAAATATAATGAACCATAACTTTATACGGATATGTTTCACTATATGTTCATGCTAAAATTTCACTTTATAAGACCCTAAATAACTTTCTGAGCTTTGGCAGTTTGGCCAAGAGATGGAAATAAATCTTTCTTTCATGCGAGCACATCAAAACACATGTAACTCTTATGCTACTTTTGAGCCTCTGGATACTCAGATTCCACACAATCCTCATCCCCACGTTCAAAGTGGGTTTCTTTACTTCTCTGATCCAGAGCCTTCTGCAACGGTAAGTAGTTGCCAAAGCCCCAGAGTTGATAATATATGCAAGAGGAACATCAGTTGTTCCATTTGAAAATACACAGTGGAAAATAAATAAATGAAATTATCTAACAGGGCTCAGTCTTTGAGCTGTAATTTTAGCCAGAAAAATCTGTTCTCTTCTGTGCTGGTTGCCTGTTGTGCTGGATCAGTGTTTCTCATTTCTGACAGAAGACACCTTCAGAGAATATAGAAACTCTCTAAAGTGTTATTTTTGTGTTTCAAAGTTTCTTAAATTATGTGTTCAGTAGTGATGTGGCATTTTTCAATATACAGAGCTAACCACTGCTTCTTCATACAAGTTTCCACCTCCCTGAACCCTCAGCTGGCCAGACAGCTTCCACTGGTGGTTCTCTAGAATTAAGGAGCTTGGGGAGAAGTTGAAGTAAAGCCAGACCCAAATTGCTTTCACTGAAAGAGTCTGTGTGATTGTTTTCTGGAAAGAAGAAGATACAAAGTAGCTGAAACATAACTCAAGAAGGAAGATTTTGCCTCAGAAACCATACAAGGTAAGCACTTGTGTAGCTCTGGCTGATTTCCTAAACTAAACCTTTTTAAGGGTTCTTTTTCTGAGTGGCATGAGAAATGCAGATAATATGGTTAAAGTGGATGTCCCTTGCAGAAGTTATAGGAAAGGTGAAAGTTTCATTCAGTGTGAATCAAGTCATCCTGCTGTCACTGGAAACCTCCGAGGGTCAGCCTTGTGGAAGGGTTTAAAGGCAGCACTTCAGCAATAATCGGCTTAGGAGGACTTGCATAGCTCCATGGGCTGAAAAAGAGATAAAAGAAAGCAGAGTTCCAGCTTGCCCAAAGAAAGGCAGTGAGCTGTGTGGTGCACAATCAGCACACGCTTCTGAGGCTTTGGTTTGGACAATTCCCTAAGTAGGGATGCCTGTGGATTTCAATGGGTACTGGAAAATGGTCAGCAATGACAATTTTGAGGAGTATCTGAAAGCACTGGGTAAGGTTCCCTTTGTACTTCTTCAGTAAATAATCAATAAATGTCACCTTGGTCTTTAAATTAATCTATTTTTTTTCATGTATAGTCATAAATCATTTTTGTGATAAATATTTTCTTCAGGAATGCGCTTTTAAGAGTTGCCTTAAGGAAAATTATTTTGCCTTAATCAGCCTCTACTTTTTATCATCTTGAAGCTTGCATTAACAGAGATGAAACAACAGAGCTTGAAGAGCTGGCAGATTTTGTGTTTAAAAAAAACCACAATCATAATTTGAAAAGAGTAAAATTTTTGTGTTTAATAAAGAATCAGTACTGTACATTATGCAATTTTATGTGTCTGCATTTGATGTTGTGTTAGTATTTCTAGAGAAATACTCGAGGCCTTATGAATTGCCCAATACAAATTTTTTTAAGATTCCACGTGATGAGAAAATTGAAACATTAAGTTATTGAAGTTAAAAGAATTTGGTGGTGGACTTTTTCCTGGTGAGAAGTCTGGCCTGAAAGATCTGGACATTTTATTTATCTTTGTTCCTTTTAGTTCTCCCTAAAAAGCGACAAGCTTGTTTTTGTGGACGACTTTTCCCGATAAAAAAATAACACTTTTTCTTTTTCAGATGTAAACGTTGCTGTCAGAAAAATAGCAAACTTGGTGAAGCCTGACAAAGAAATCCTTCAGAACGGGGATCATATGATCATTAAAACTCTAAGCACTTTTAGAAACTACATCATGGAATTTGATATAGGAAAGGAGTTTGAGGAGGATTTATCTGGGGTGGATGATCGCAAGTGCATGGTAAGAATTAGAACTGTAACCACGGGCAAACAAGAGTCCTGCTAATCTGAGGCCTTTCCCAGACCTCATCTGGTACCTTTTTGTGGGGCTATTCCTACAATTGTTTCTGTATTTCTCAGTTGGCCAAGATGTACCTGCAGTACCTACTAATTTTAATCAGGAGCACAAAGCTATTTTATCAGTGAGTGAACAGTAACTTCAGTGAAACTTTGCTCAGTTATATTGGGATATTCATTAGCCAAAAAGGCATCTCAGTTCCCTCTCAGAACCTCTTCACTGCATGATGTTTTATGGTAGAGGAAATCCACTTATTGCAGGACCAAACACCAGTCCCCATGTGTAAGAATGGGCAAGGGCCTGAAAAATTCATGTAAGATAATTGAAATTATAAGTATATATTACTTAGAAATTGTTATATGCATTTATTAGAGTAGACACATTAATTACTGCAGCAAATATTATTGAAATGATCAAACAAACAGGACTCTCTCTCTGAGCTGTGACTCTTGTGAGCTCTTTTTGCTTGCCAGGGAGACAGTAGTTTTTATCTTATGACTGATAAATAGCAATTAACAGGGGAAAAACTTGAGAATACAAAGTTCTCACCTCTTAGTTTGAAAACGTGGCACTGGCAATATTCTACAGTGAAGAAGTTGATAAACAAATGACATTTATCTCGGGAGGGACTATAGAAGAGAAATCCCATAAAAGAGAATTATTAGCTTTCCATTCTTGGAAAGATAGTGCCATTTAAGCCAATAGTTTTATCTGACAGTAAGATATGCAAATTTGCTTTTGCTCTGGTCATGGCAGGAAAGGGAAAGATTGTGGAGACCAAAAAAAAGTATGGCTACCTGCTGATTGCCTCAAGTAATGCCTTGTACTCCTTGTTCCAGAGGGTACAGGTGTGACAGGAGTGCACATCCAGAATGCACAGCAGGGAGGAGCACATGGATTTGTGGCCAGGAAAATGCCCCAATGGCACAATGCATTTTTGACTCCTGGAAGGCTCTTGATCAGAATAATGAGGTCCAGATGCACTGAGCAGTTATGAGCCCACAGAAAGATTTGACTTAGGTGGCCAAACTGCCGTTTGAGATAGGAAACATCAGAACATCTGCTCACAGTGTTTGTGTGCACAGAGCTGTCTCCATCTAAGCATTGCCTGTACTCAAATGCCATTAAAGTCCTGTTTAAAGGAGGACTAAACCATCCTCTACATGGCAGAAAGAAGTCTCTGTGCTCTGAGGCTGCCTAGCAAGTGCCTGCACTGAGTTCTTACAAGATGTGTGAGGCAACCACTGTGCCAAAAAGTCAGATTGAGAAGACAGGGAAATGTGGTCCTTGCCTAATCCTGCTTTCAAAGTACTAAATAGATTTAACACAGAAATCTTGATTTCCCCCGAAATAGCCTAAAGATTTCATTATTTGTAATGAGCAAAAATTTTCTACCCTTTTTTGCTAAACTGAGTGATAGGGAAGAATTCAAAATGTTAAACCAGAAAGAAGATAGTAGAGAAAGATTATTTTAGCCACTACAACAGCTATTTGATTTGCAGTAGAACCTAATTCACCCTGCTTTCAAAGGTTACTCAAACATTTTATCTGCTTACTGTTTAGTGCAAAATGTTTATTCAGCCTTGGAAGCAGAAGGTACCAGCACCTTCTTGCCTTTTCAAAATAAAACCAAACAAAAAATCAGAGGTAGTCACTAATCCTGATGGGGGGTTTTGTTAAGAATTACTTAGGGATGTAACTCCACAAAACCCTCCAGAGGTCTCCATGTGTCTTTATGGCCTCTAAGAACAAATTCCAGCTGCAGCTGTACAGTTCAGGTCACTGATCCCTGCTTCTCTGCTTGCCTTGTAGCAACATATCACACCTAATAGTTCCATTTTCTGATTAAAGACTTATACATGAGGCCTCTGTTTGTCAAAGGCAAAACAGTACAAGAAGCTTTGTCTTTCTGAAATTACTCCAGGCCAAATCTGATAAACACCAGGAAAAATTTGCAGTTGTTAAACAGCAAAATAACTCCAGCAGTGCAGAAAGAGTCCTGTGAGAGCAGGGTCATGGAGGCTCTAAGAGATACTGGACCACTCCCTGAGTGGTGTTACCAAGAAAACCACCATAAAAGCAAAGGTTGAATATCATTCTTGGTATTTCCTTTGCTCAGCTGGGGCTTGTGGAACTGCCTCCATAAATGGCTTAATCATTAATAGTCAGCCTGTGTAATGGGAGAGATTGTGAATCAATTATTGTTATTTATATTGTGGACTGAGCAGACCACTGGGCAAGTTTCATCCAAGTAGCTCAGTGTATGAGCAGTACAAAGTAACATGGATAAGACAAATTGCACATTAAACATTAATCTGTATGGCAGAGCAATCATCAGGAGAGCAGCACAAACAACCTTGGAGGTAATTCACCCTATAGGTATGGATCGTTTTTTCTTTTAATGAAGAATAGATCACCTCACTAGAGTTAACATAATGTTAGCACAGTGAACAGGTTACATCTTGTGTGTAATCACTGAAATTGTGTTCACCTTTCAGTTGTAAAACATATCCTTGAGTCAGTCAGGGTAGAGTGTAACTACAGGAATTCCAAATTGATCCTGCCCATAATGAGAAAAGGCTGAAAAGCTTTGCTGATACTTATTTTAGAAGTAAGTTGAAGTTTTGACACTGTGAGTTGATGCTCCTGTGGCAGTACAGGCTCTCTCCTTCATTTCAGTGAGGGCTCTTTCATTTTTGTAGTTGGTCACTCCTGTCTGCCTTTGGTATTTCCTGCACTGAGTGTTTGATCCTGCTGTCTTAATTCTCAGTGAAGCTCCAGTCTCATCATGAAATGTCCTCAGTTTTAAAGATAATGTCTGTAATCTCTCATTGTGATTAATTTAGTGACTGTCTCAGGTACTGCACTAAGGATGAAGCTTTGTTTCATGTGTATAAACATTAGTGTGGAAAAAATTTATTGTGCACAAAAGAGGCAAGACCTTATTGAAACGACAACTAATTGAAAACCATCTCTGCGAGTAAATCTCATTCATCAGCAGGTAATAAACAGTGGAACTGAGGAATCATCTGCAACGTGAAATATGTCAGGGCAGGAATTGACACTAAGCAGAAAATATGAGCCTTCAAAGTGTATTTGCTTAATATGTACTAAAAAATTTATGGAAAACTTAACTGAAAAAGCTTAAAAGCTGAAACAAAGGCTGAAGTTTCACATTCCCAGTCTTTGCACCCAGTGAATCAAAGCAGCTTGAAAGTGGGATAGCTCAGATGCAAAAACTACCTTCCTAAATTTTTTACTTTTCTAATCATTTTGCTGCTGAAGTCCAAGGAACCTTTTGCATTCTAATTTTCCTCTGCTGTTCAAGCATTTGACTGAATTGCTTTAGCCCACACTCTGCAGAATGAAGCTCTCTTCTGACAGAGACTAAGGGCAAATGATCTGTTTAAAAAATCAAGGAAGATTTTATGTTCTAAATATAGAACAGCAGAATTCCCTGGATAACTGAAAGCAGTCTTAGTTGCATCAGAACTGAATATTTGGCCGAGCACATGAGGGATGCTCTGGTAATTCGAAGCCTGGTGTAGTAATTTTCTTCTTCCATTGGAGCAGGAAATGAAATGACAATGACTGGGAACTGGTAAAGAGAGAAACCAGCAGGAATTTTAAACTGAATATGGGAAATAATACCTATTAACCAGTCAGTGAAAAAAATTGAATGCAAGCAGAATATAACCATGAATAAGTTATCCAATTGGTATTTAGGGTTCCTTTATTGGAACTAATATAACTTCTGGTCATAGTTAAGACTTGCTGGGATGGGGTAGGGTGAGGATTTGGGAGCTGTAGAATTCACTCATCAGATCGATCATCCATCTTACCATATGAAGTAGCTTCCTGAAAATATAGTCAATTAATGTTTAAGACAGCCACATAAGGACTGCTACCTGTGTCTTATCCTACTGAGGGGAGACAAGTTGTTTGAGGCTGCAGTTTTATTTAACAAAAATGCCTTGTGTGACACTGATTCCTCTCTAGTTTATATGAAATTTAGTTGTTCTGGACATAATTTGATTTATACCACTGCAAGGTCAGGATAAAGCCCTGTTACAAAATCACATGGCTCATGAAGCTTATTTAACTGTTTAGGCAAGGCTCTCCTGTTACACAAATGGAATTCACAGCTCTTAATCTAGTTCAGAGTAGGTTTTGGAATTAAGACTTTGTTGCTAGAAAAACAACAACCAACAAACACCATTCCAATACTTGGAGTTTCAGTAGGGATCCCCACAGGATGAGAAGTCTCAAAATAAATTGTGCCTGTCTAGTAAGATGCAGGATCATCAATATGTCTTTACTTGATCCTTCTGGTTGGGCTGGTTTGTTTCTTTACCCTTCCCATGCTGTCCTTTTGGGCCTGTAGATATTTTTTCACACACTTTGTTGGCTCAAGCGTTGTTCTGGAATCGCTGCAGCTGGGACTGGTCCTCTCTCAGAGTCAGTGCCCCCTCTCTCTCTGCAGTGCTGTGTTTTCCCCAGCTCCTCGTTGGCATAATCACAGATTTGATTTTTTTTTTAATAATTTTAAAGAGGCAGACTTTCATGTAGTTTTCTGTTGATATTTCTGACCCTCCAGTAAATCCCCTTGAGGTCTGGAGAACAGAGGTCCACTCCTGGCTCTCTCAGACTCTCTCAGACTCCTGTCTGTGCCTCAGTAAAGAGGAACTGTTTCCTTTTTCCTGCCTTGTTTCCCCCTGCCTGCTCTTTTGGCATCACTGCTTATTGCCTGCAGGTGAAATGCTCAGCACATTCACACAGTGATAGCAAATGAATCTTTTGCCATATAATTTGTCATAAACTTCAAATTTTGCAGGTCTGGATTCGTGTCTAAAATCTGAGACTGATCAGAAGCTTTTTGAGCCAGTTATTCACAAAAGCACTGCTGGCACACTGAAGCTCTGTAGGAAACGTGGTTTTGGATG